ACCAAACCTATATCATAAAATACTGCATTTTACAACCTATATTGAAAGCACCAGTTCACATTTTATTGCTTGACACGGCGATCCAATGAAGTTCTTTGAAACGGGTGGCTTGATGAGATCATTTGTAAGCTGGTCCGACTAGTTTCTTCATTTCGTACCGGACTCTTCGGATGATTCTGCATTTGTTTCCTGACACGCCACGTCCTGCTGCACACTACAATGAGGAAATTGTTTTAAACCTTGACATATTCAGAATCCATAAAAATTATTCTGTAGACCCTGAACAAGGTTATTTCTCCATACATCTACTCACCAGATTTCTTTTTACATTTTCTTCACAGATTAACGGGGCATTGAATAAATTTTTCAAAGAAAAGAGCAACACCAACCATACTTGTCAGATTCTTTAATAGTGAAATATTAAGGAAGCTCGTTTTTTCTACTCGATTCAAATGTTTTGAGATCTACAGTCAAACTTCGTGCTTAACTGCTCTTTTTTTGCAAAGCTGAAAATAAAAAGTTCCATTATCGTTACATCAACAATTGCTTGAAAGCTTGAATGCATTGTGGATTGTGCAATGTGTAAAAATATAAATTCCCATAGTCTCTGTCTTTGTAAATATTCAGTCGAACTTGAGCTATTATTGATGATGTGAAAAATATTACTTTGCATTCTGTTTTTTCGATTTTTTTCACAGGAAAAAGTTACGATGTCCGAATGGAATTTCACAGGACTATTTCATGAGTAACAGATTATTATTTCTGGTGTCCTAGAAGACCCGAATTACTTGTTATCAAAGGTACAGTAATTTTTTGTGACTACAGCTATCAAGTTTTGCAGTGGGTAAATCAAAAAAACTGCTGACAGGTGTTGTCTATACTGACCTTCTGACTGGACATTTCATCTTGATTGCACTCCCAATAAAGACAGTGGCTGCTCCACCGATTATCAACAAAACCTTCTTCTTATTCTTGTAGTCAGGCTGAATCAATGTCCTCGATGTAGCTGTTGGTTGGTGTTGTTGCAAGGCTTCATCTTTGCAGATTTGGGTTGTGGGCACATAACTGCGGGTCTGTCCACCGGTACAGTGTGGTTCTGGGCCATTATCTGTACAATTAACACAGGAAGAAACTTGTGGTGCAGTGCTAGAGCAAAACTGTAGTTCATAGATATTGATTATTGTCTTGTTATTCTCGGGGCCAGTGTTTGCAAACACTGATTGGGGAATTATTGTTAAAACTGGTTATACTTTTTGTATTATTTTGTTTAAATAAACTATTTCAAAAGAAAAAATAACAACATTCGACGAATGACATTTGACATCATGTTTGTGTCCAGAGCGATAGAATCAACATGACAGGGAAAGGCGGCTGCCTACTCATTCGACGAATGACATTTGCCGCCATGTTTGGCCAATGACATGTCGGTGCTAATCAACAACCAAACCTATATCACAAAAATACTGCATTTTACAACCTATATTGAAAGCACCAGTTCACATTTTATTGCTTGACACGGCGATCCAATGAAGTTCTTTGAAACGGGTGGCTTGATGAGATCATTTGTAAGCTGGTCCGACTAGTTTCTTCATTTCGTACCGGACTCTTCGGATGATTCTGCATTTGTTTCCTGACACGCCACTTCCTGCTGCACACTACAATGAGGAAATTGTTTTAAACCTTGACATATTCAGAATCCATAAAAATTATTCTGTAGACCCTGAACAAGGTTATTTCTCCATACATCTACTCACCAGATTTCTTTTTACATTTTCTTCACAGATTAACGGGGCATTGAATAAATTTTTCAAAGAAAAGAGCAACACCAACCATACTTGTCAGATTCTTTAATAGTGAAATATTAATGAAGCTCGTTTTTTCTACTCGATTCAAATGTTTTGAGATCTACAGTCAAACTTCGTGCTTAACTGCTCTTTTTTTGCAAAGCTGAAAATAAAAAGTTCCATTATCGTTACATCAACCATTGCTTGAAAGCTTGAATGCATTGTGGATTGTGCAATGTGTAAAAATATAAATTCCCATAGTCTCTGTCTTTGTAAATATTCAGTCGAACTTGAGCTATTATTGATGATGTGAAAAATATTACTTTGCATTCTGTTTTTTCGATTTTTTTCACAGGAAAAAGTTACGATGTCCGAATGGAATTTCACAGGACTATTTCATGAGTAACAGATTATTATTTCTGGTGTCCTAGAAGACCCGAATTACTTGTTATCAAAGGTACAGTAATTTTTTGTGACTACAGCTATCAAGTTTTGCAGTGGGTAAATCAAAAAAACTGCTGACAGGTGTTGTCTATACTGACCTTCTGACTGGACATTTCATCTTGATTGCACTCCCAATAAAGACAGTGGCTGCTCCACCGATTATCAACAAAACCTTCTTCTTATTCTTGTAGTCAGGCTGAATCAATGTCCTCGATGTAGCTGTTGGTTGGTGTTGTTGCAAGGCTTCATCTTTGCAGATTTGGGTTGTGGGCACATAACTGCGGGTCTGTCCACCGGTACAGTGTGGTTCTGGGCCATTATCTGTACAATTAACACAGGAAGAAACTTGTGGTGCAGTGCTAGAGCAAAACTGTAGTTCATAGATATTGATTATTGTCTTGTTTTTCGGGGCCAGTGTTTGCAAACACTGATTGGGGAATTATTGTTAAAACTGGTTATACTTTTTGTATTATTTTGTTTAAATAAACTATTTCAAAAGAAAAAATAACAACATTCGACGAATGACTCATGTTTGTGTCCAGAGCGATAGAATCAACATGACAGGGAAAGGCGGCTGCCTACTCATTCGACGAATGACATTTGCCGCCATGTTTGGCCAATGACAAGTCGGTGCTAATCAACAACCAAACCTATATCACAAAATACTGCATTTTACAACCTATATTGAAAGCACCAGTTCACATTTTATTGCTTGACACGGCGATCCAATGAAGTTCTTTGAAACGGGTGGCTTGATGAGATCATTTGTAAGCTGGTCCGACTAGTTTCTTCATTTCGTACCGGACTCTTCGGATGATTCTGCATTTGTTTCCTGACACGCCACGTCCTGCTGCACACTACAATGAGGAAATTGTTTTAAACCTTGACATATTCAGAATCCATAAAAATTATTCTGTAGACCCTGAACAAGTTATTTCTCCATACATCTACTCACCAGATTTCTTTTTACATTTTCTTCACAGATTAACGGGGCATTGAATAAATTTTTCAAAGAAAAGAGCAACACCAACCATACTTGTCAGATTCTTTAATAGTGAAATATTAAGGAAGCTCGTTTTTTCTACTCGA